AGAGAGAGAGAGAGAGAGAGAGAGAAAGAGAGAGAGAGAGAGAGAATTTGTCGTTCAAATTTCCATTATATGTGGTTTTTATTTGTGTCGATAACATATAGAGAAAGTACAAGAAAATGTATGATGATTGAAATTGTGTAGCCAAAGAGCCCCGGGTGTCTTAATAATTTTTTTGTGGTTATACACACACATTGAGTGCCGGGAAATGGACTTATTTTACCATTCATAGTGACAGGAAAAATCCTGGAGGGTTATAATGGTTTGGGTAGAGAGTTATATAATTCAATCAAAATGAACACCACTTGAAAATTCATGTATATTTTAATGATTAAAGGCATTGAAAGTTACCGTATATTTCCATACAAACTCATGATGATTGAAATGTTGGTAAATTATTTATATCTATTATAACGGCACTTATTTTTCTGTAATTTTTCAATTAATACCATAATTGAATTTTATGTTGAATCAGACTTTTTGTTGCATTAATTTATGATTTAATATATCATTAATAATGTAAATACTGTGCGTTTTTTGAAAGTTATTTTTTCAATTTTATTATTCATTAATATTTTATTAGTTTTATATTATATTATATTTTTGTGTAACTATTTATACATAAGATTTATTTTAGTTTTTTGTCGGTTTAATTATTTATGTATCATGTTTTAAGTTATACACACATCTATTGATGTCAGCATTTGATATACAAATTTCCTATACATTTACACAATGTTTATAATCTTAACACAAGTGTTGATCAGTTGTTATAAATTGATTATCATTTTCATCACAACAATGTCCACATCGATGGCCGGGACCTAAGTCTCAAACCACCAGATATACAAATAATAGACTTATCAAGTATTTCTGGGGGAAATATGCAACAAAACAATTATATCGCTAATTATTTCTCGGGATAACAACCAGTATTAGTTGGGGTTTACATAGAGTGTTATGAAAATATCGTAATCCTATACATATCCCGTTCCCCACATCCCTGTGCTCTCAGAAAACCCTATTATCATTACTCTCGGCAAATATATTTACATTTTTATATCTCATTTTATTTCTCTAACGCAAAACCATTGCATTTCATAAGTATTTATAAGTATGTATTGAATAATTGATTGTTGTGTACAGTACTGTATATTATAGCTATCCCTATGCCTCCCGGCGCCCCAACTACTGGTTCACTACTTATATATTGTTCATATTCCTGAATCATGATCGTTTGCAATACACTATATATTGGCTTTATATAGTTTATATCGGGGTAATAGAGGGGTTAACTTATATAACAATAACTCATTTCGTATTCATATGTATTTACAAATTATATTGAAATTAATTTTAATTATTACTTTCGATACACGTTATGATTGTTTTTATCGGTATGTATTTGCGTGTATGAAGTGTATCCAACCCTTACACACCGCAAACTACCATAAATTAAAATACACTTTTTATGTACATTAAAAATTAATACATAGTTTCACAATATAGGTGTATGCCTAATCTATCATAATCATTTTTCATATTAATTAGTTATAAATATAATGTCATTTAATACTAATACTATTATAAATAAAAAGTAAAATTTAATTCACAAAATTGTGACAACAAATGGCTATAAGAGTTGTCCGATCGAGTGATACATAGAGGCGGCGGCACTGGTGGGCGACACCACTACCTCCTGCCCGCCCCCGGCAAACGGTGTGCCCATAACTCCGCCACCAAAGCCTAGTTTAGGCCTTACCTGTCCGGACAGATAACGGGTCAGTTTGCCGGTCCCGTCGCCCGGCGCTGGTCTTGGATTGTGAGCGCCGGAAGGGCTGTCTGTGCGCTGTTTGGCCGCCGCTTTGCTGTGTTTGTCGACCCCGTCGTGTAGTTTTCGGATATGCTTTTTGAGATCAAAGTTACGACAAAAACCTTTGCCACATGTCATACACTGGTAGGGCTTCTTGTCGTTGTGGGTGTGCTATAAGGGATAGGGAGAGACAAATGATGTGATTACACTTATATTAGATAATTATTTAATACTATGCGAGAGAAAGAGAGAGCGAGCGAGAGAGAGAGAGAGAGAGAGAGAGAGAGACCAATATAAACAAACAATTTACAATCTAGTTAAAAGGCAATAAAAAGCAGGTATTTTTTAAATAATTTACCAAAACATAAACTTTACATGCACATTTATCATAAATAGCATAAAAATCATGGTCTAGCATTTAAAAAACAATCAAGCTCATTAATTAGCGCAAACACTTACCAAATGAAAGGTGAGATTATAGACCTGATGGAAGGCCTTACCGCATATCTCGCACTTATAGGCCTTTTCGCCCGAATGCGTTAACTTATGATTTTTATAATTGCCCTTTTGGTGGAAACCTTTGCCACAAAACTCGCATTTATAGGGCTTATACCCGGCGTGGATACGGATGTGTGTGTTTAGGGTTGAGCTCCGGTTGAAGGCCTTACCGCAAAACTGGCACTTATGGGGCTTTTCCTGTGTGTGGATAATCTTATGGCGGCACAGAGTGGACGCCTGACGGAACCCTTTGCCGCACACCTTACAGATGAAGGGTCGGGCGCCGGTGTGCACCGGCATGTGTCGGGTCAGGTTGTAATGGGCGTTGAACACTTTGCCGCACTCGGTGCACGTGAAACATTTGGCCTTTGACCCGGCTGGATTACCAGCTACGGCAGCTGCGGTAGCCGTATTCGCAGCCCCGGTATGTTTGTTAATACCCTGATGGTTGGCTGCCACTGCTGATGGGGCGGCGGCGCACCGGTTGCCACCACCGGCGCTGTCGTGGACTCGTTTAGGTCTATGAATAGCGGTGGTTAGAGGTGTCGCCGGTTGCGGCACCAGTAGCTGCTGGTGATGATTGGCGCCGGCATTCATCGGCGGTGTTATCGTTGGCGGCGATGTCCTGACAGATGCTGTGACAGACGGGTCGCCGGCGGCCGCGGCTGCGGCCATGGATCTGATGGCCTGATTGTGCAGATACTGTCGGTGATTGTGCTCAACGGGTAATGGGTTTAGGTTGTGCTGCGCCGGTGCAGTCATATGAACCATGGGTTTGGGTCGCGCGATATGATTGAACAAGTGGTGAGCGTCGGGTGCGATGATAGTCGGCAGCCTGTGGTGACCACCGCCGGCACCGGACAGCGAACCGAACCGCTCTTTAAGCGCTTCCGCGCCGTACGACCGGATGAAATGGTTGAGCATTTGCGGACCCGGAGGTAGGGATTGACAGTTAATCGGAGGGCCGACCGCCGGGTGCTGTTGCTGTTGACCGCAATTTGCCAGATCTTGCAGCAGGTGATAGTCGGGCGCCATGAGTGCTGAGCACAGCCGCAGTGAGTCTATGTCCGGCACACCAGCGCCGGACAGGGATGTGCTCAATAGGTTACGCATAACCCGCTCGTAGAGCATAGCGTTGATTGAGTTGTTGTTCTGTTGGCTATTGTATTGCATATGAAGGCCGAGCATATGTGGCGGTCCCGGAGGGGGTCCGGCGGTGGATATCGGCGGCAGAAAGCCGTTAATAACAAACGGATCCATAGCCAGCGATCGCCACTTATTATCATCCATACTATGATTATTATTATTCATATTACTATTGTATGCGTTCATCGCGTGTTGTTTTCTAGCGTTATTATTATTATTTTGATTACTATTACTATTGTTGTTGTGATGATAGGTCTGCTCTGTCTTACAGTTGGACTGTCTCTGTATGGCTGAGCACTTCTGGTTGTGGTGGTGCTGATGATGGCTGAGCCGCTGGTGCTCTGCCGGCGATGACAACTGCCTGTCTTTGTCTTTAACCGACTGATGAGTGGATGTGATGACGGCATCCGAGTCGCTATTATTGGCCACACTTTGCATTATATTATCGATACTAAAGGCCAGACCGGCGGCGGATCCGTCTTTCGTCGGCGAAGTGATGGTTGCGGTGATGGCTGCGGACAGGGGTTTCCTATCCATCGGCGGTGACCCGCGGCTAACTGTGCCGACATTGGGCTTACAATCGTCATCGCCGGTGATAATCATTGTCTCTTTATTGGGAACCGACATCAGGGGTGTGCACACGGGTTGTTACAGTCAGACAAAACACACGTACAGGTAAATAATATTGGTTGAAAGTTGCAATAATATTGCTTAGTATATGTAATTTCAAAACTATAATTTGGTCATTAAATGCATCATGATGGGCATAAAAATGAGAGAGTAAAATATTTTCACTAGCGAATAGAGCATACATACAGTAAATATATATAGTGTTATATACTGTACGGTATGTTCATATGACTGCACATACTATACACGCGTTTGGATACAGATGTTGGGTATGGAGTGGAAAGGGAGGCGCGAGGAGACGGGAGGGGACGGTAAAAGTGCCCGCAAAACGTCTAGTGGTTGG